TGACAAAAGACTCGTACTAGCGTCACATGATGTAATTATTTGGTTACAACTCAAAAATTTATAGATTTGTAAGAGATTTGTTTTTTATTTTATTAATTAAATTTTAATTTTTTTAAAAATTTAATAAAAGTAATTTTTTTTTTAAAATTTTTTATTTTTGTTATGGATGACCTGTCTTGCTTATTTACTAGTTCTACGCGTTACTCAGCGCCTCTTGCCTGTCAATGTTGAAAAAATGGAAAACAGCCAAATCTGAGATGGCCCTACTAACCGCCCCTTAAGACTTTCTACGCGTTACTCAGCGCCTCTTGCCTGTCAATGTTGAAAAAATGGAAAACAGCCAAATCTTAAATGGCACTACTTACCGACTCTTAAGACGCATCTTGCCTGTTAATGTTGAAAAAAATGGAAAACAGCCAAATGGGAAATGGCCCTACTCACCGACCCTTAAGACTTTTTATCCCTTAATTACCGCCTACGCCTAATTTTTCACATTTAAACATTTGAAATCCTCATTAAGTTTAATTATAACCAAAACAAAACTCATTAGCTTATAAATACAAGATCCACATTACAATTATATAAACTTATATTCATGAGAGATTAATACTCTGATATTAACTAAAACAATTCGAATTGAAACTCATCATTATTCTAACAACTCTTCAAGTCTGCTGAAGGGAAAAAGCCTCTCGAGCAGGATTGCTTATGTCACCTTGTTGGCTGGAAACGGGTACGATTGGAAGGGCGTGCAGGGGTTGACTACGGGGCCGAAGAAGGTGAAGAGTGTGTACTCACTTGTGTTGCCCTTTAGTCGCAGAGCCAGAATTTGAGAGACAAGGGTGTCAAATTTATCAATACTTAAATTATATATGTGTTTAAAATATTATTTTTTTAGTTTATTTTAGTTATATTAATTTGATTTTTATACAAAATTTGATTCGATGATTTTATTAAGAAAATAGATAACAATTGAAAACTTTTTTTTTAAACATAATGCTTATTTAATATTTTCACTTAGATAAAAAAAAATTTTCACTAATTTGTTTATATTAAAATTATTAAATTAATTAATATAAAGTTGAAAAAATTTGATAATTAAAAAGGACCAAAGGGAGCAATATATAATTGTAAAACAGTAAACTTGTGTCTAAGATTAAATATGGCCATGTTCAATGTAAAATATAATGTTTTTCAAAAATTTTGGTGATTAACAAATAATTATCTAGTTGTATTTGTGGGGAAAATATATAATAAAAAATATCTAAAATAATGTAACAAATTTATAAATATATCAAAAATTTATATAGAAAGTGAAAAAATAAAATAAATAGATTTGTCTTAATAAAAAAATTTGAGTT